AAAGGAGGAAGGTGGGTTCATACGGCAGCATAGAGAGTGAGCCCTTGCAGTGGAGAATGAGCGAGTCATGTGGGCCTCTGCGAAGAAGCCCGAAGTGGTGCGCCAACTCATTTGGGTCTGTGGTATTGATGGCGGATGCGGCGTCCGGTGGAAAGAGAACAGTCTAGAAAGCCTAATCCAAGCATTCCCGTTTCTTTATGCGTGTCCATAGGTTTCCATCTCATTTTTTCCTCTCCACGTTTATTTACCAATTTCTTCTTTCCCAAAGGTTAAAACAAATAATAAATTGCAACAGATCTTTGAACCCTTGATCTATATCTATTCTCTATCTCTATCTAAGAAGCAAAGATCTCCCCACTAACTTGTTGATGTGGTTTTAATTGGAAACAAACTTATTTTTAATGGAACATGGATCAGGCGATATTATTCACTACTACAGAATTGATTTTTAGTAACACATCTATTTTTAGATAACGATGACTCAATTTACAGCCGTCTCTACAAATCGGTCTTGAAACGAGCCGTCTCTGGAAATACATTTGTATACAAATGCCCCTATCTTTAGAGACGGCTCTAGATGCCGCCACCTCTACAAATCAATTTCTAGAGGCGGCTAGATCTAGAGCTAGCACTAAAAATCAACTTCTAGATCTAGGCGCCTGGATCTAGTGTGGTCACGAAAATAGGTGCATTGCAGTAATTTGTAATTTTTCAGATAAATTCGGAAGGAGAAATGGCCAAAACCAAAGTTATAGAACTCGAAGAGTTAAACAACTTTGTAGTTCATAACTTTTGCATTTGAAATCATATATCCAAGGAAATTTATGTTTAGATTTCTCACTTCTGAATTTTTTTTTTCAAACGACCTCAAGATGAATAAGCAACTAAAACCAAAGCTGTAGATCTCAATGCTTTCTATAATTTTGTAGTTGAAAACAACCGTTTTTAGGAGTAAACATTAATGTTGTTTGCATCAGAGGAGAAAAAAAATCTATTTAGTTTAATATAGGCTTAATAGGATATTGTTATATTATTGTCAACATTAATTTTATATTATAAATAGCATTGCCATCATAAAATAAATTACACCTTTCAAATTTTATAGAAAGCATCAATAGATATATAAACATTTGATAGTTTTTTTAAATGCTCTCGCGCTATCCTTCCCATATGTAATCCAAACTCATAATCCAACGCTACAGAATCCCACTGCAAGATGTATGGATTTTTCATGAATGTATAGGCATGTTTGCTAGTTAAAAAGACATGCACAAAAGCACGTGTCAAAAAATTTATGTAAGTTTCGCGTGTTGTTCAATTTGTATATGAATGTAATAAGAGCAAGTCCAGCAAGCCTCTACTTGAGCCTCATAGCTAAATATAGGCGCCTAGGCCAAAAACGCAACTCCAGCAGGGCCTCTACTAGAGCCCCCTATTTGGGGTGGGCACCCAAATCCACCCTTCAGAACCCATTCGTGTGGGAGAATTGGGACTCACCCCCACAGCCTGTGGACCCCTCAATTTGAGAGTCCTAAGTTCATCCGTATTTGTGCCAGGATCATGCACAAATATGCACAAAATCACAAGAATGGTACACAAATATGCACAAAATATGCCAGAATGGTACACAGATATATAATAAAAAGGTTTCAAACTTTATTGATATCTAAAATAGGGTCTTACAATAGTAACCCAAAGGGACAAGGTCTTTGGCTTACATATATCTAGCGAAACACTACGGTCGTGAAGCGGCATTATTCATTGTAGTCTCTAGAGCGGGATTACCACAGGCAACTTGAGTGCGGTCGAAACCCTAGCCTCGATGTCATACTCCTACGAACGTATTTTCTAGTGTGACTCCTCGTGGTATGTCTCCTCGTTGAAGCCATAGTCCTCTTTCGTGCCGAGGTCTGTGGGTCAACAATGGGTGAGTACATACGTACTCAGCAAGCCCTAACCATAGGGTGGAAATAGAAGTGTAGTGGTGATTATAATTATAGGTTGGGTCCTAGCAGAGCATTGCCATTCCCACTAGTCCCCGGGTTAGCATTTATTTCGTTACCAGTTTCATTATACATAAAAGTAAATCTAATCATAGTATCCCATCCTAGCATTTGCCCATTCCAAGGACGTGGCTATTCAAATAGGTTTAGTTAACTCTACAGAGGTGTACAAATTTTCCCACACGATAGGTACAACCTCATCCATAATCAGTGGACGAAATAGACCTAACGAGACCCCGTACCCGAATGTACGCGACCTTAGATGTCCATATAACTCTACTACGACTTTTTAGGGGTTGGAGAACAACGTGGAAGATCAGATAGCATCCACACCAATTAAACAATGGAAATTCACATGGCATCCGTATAAACAATAATATAGGCTCGAACGAGGCCAAAAGCTCTAAAGTTTAACGTGAAAGATCACATAGCAACCACGCCAACCAAACCACGGAAGATCACATAGCATCCATGTCTGCTCCTGTTATTCCACTGCCTACACCGGTGTCCTAGTAGAAATTATACTTTTATCTAACGGGGTGTGAGATCAAGCCTACCAATATAGACATGTGGTTGTACGTATCTCACTAGGCGAGAGGGACTATGAACCGATCCTTATGTGACCGAGGCGAGTATCTGTAACACCCTAGGTGTTAAGCCTCACTAAAAATTGAGCATGTCATCATCTTGCATGAAAAGCATTCATAGTAGCTAACCAAGCCTTGCATTCACTTAAATTATATTAATTGGTTAGTAATGCAATGCATGTGTGATGTATTGAGTTAAAACCAAAAATCCTTTCAAGGTACTTTGTTATCTTCTATTTTTGGAAATTCACCAAGATACTTAAAAATTTGCCCAAATAAAGTTTGAAGTATAGTGTATACTTGACATTGGTGTCAAGTATTGGTTATGAATTCAAGTTCAAATCATTAAAATTTGAACCTCAAAAGTGAACTCAGTATTGAAATTCATCACTTAGACAAATCTTCCCGTCATGGATTTCAGTGATTGAATTCAATTTTGGGTTATTTATTAAAATGATTTTCATAAACAAAATTTTTTTATACATTAGTATCATTTGATAGTGCAAAGTTTGTGCTATACAATGGTGCTAATGATTGAGTTGCTTGATTGTTAATTAATCCTTAATTAATTTGCCAAATTAGCTAAGTTATTAATTTGCAAAAACCTAAGCTGAACTCTGTTCAGTTTTCAAAAACAGTTTCAAAGTACCTATGTTCGAGTCCAAAAATCTTAAAACCCGGTCATCCTTTGATGTTGATCCTTTAACCAAAGTTGTAGACTACATGTAGATGAACAAGTTTGTTTCTTGGAGATTGGCGCGTTTCTGTTGGAAGTATGGAGAAAAGAACAGGAGAAATCGGTTTGTCAGTCGACTGTTTGAGGTGGAATTTCATCACCGGCAACAGGCAGGCAGCTTGCCTACTTCACCGGCGAGCCGCCGCCCTCCAACACCGCTTACTCGTGCGGTGCCACGCAGCAGTAGCGGTGGCAAGCTCAAGCTGGAGCTGGCTGCGTCTGGAAGTCGCCCTCGTTCCTTATCAGTCCGAGCCGCCGAAGTTATCCCTCTCTTCCCTTCCAGCTCGCCGCCAGTGATCTTGCCGCGCCGTCCAAAATGACCGCCACCGCTCCACCTCGCCGCGATTCGTCTTGCAGCCACGCTCGCCATCTCCTTGCATGTCCACCCAACCTGATCGCGTCAGGTCAAGCCGCAGGCATCGCTCCAGCGTCGCCGTCTTCCCTGGCGTCGAGCAGAGCGCCGCCGTGAGGAGCGAGAAAGATGCGGTGCCGCAGATCGTCAGGGACTTGCAATGTAATTGGCTACGAAGTTTCAGTGAAGTTGCAATGTAATTGTTGAAAAAGGAAAGAATTAAAATGAAAAAGTTGGCTAAAAAGTTTGAGGTTATCGCTTTGTGAAATATTTTTCATATAGCAAGGCATGGGTATTTTTTTTTTGGTCTTTGAAAAAATTTATGTTTTGTCAGCTCATAATTTGGTTGTTTTAGTTTGTATGTCTCAATGACACAATGCAACGACGGTGGAAATGATGGCAACAGGGCCATGAGTTTTTTTATCCCCGCTGATGTGAGTTCTGAAATTTTGGTGAAAAATTCCAGTCTGAGATGAAATTCCCCTCTGAGATGGCCTACATGTATGTATACATGTGAATTATTTATTTTGGTATTTAACTTTGTATTGTTTCAAAAGATTATATAATTTTTTTGATTGAAAAAAGATTATATAAATTAATAATGATACTATTTTGTCGTTTGGTTGTTTTCACATGCATCACTGAAATAAAGCCGTGGCACTAGCACGAACACTATACTAGTGTTAGAAACGCGTGCTTCGTTGCTGCGCGCCACACATTGCCCTAGTTGTTGTTTATTCCTGATTTCCTTCGATCAGGCTTCATCTTACGTGCGTTGTTCATTTGGTCCTGCTGGTGCCATCACAACATAAGCAGCTAATGAACCTCACTCGTCAGCGCCTAGCCGACTAGCAGTACTCCGTACGTGGTTGGGAGAATTATCTATTTGGCACCGAAACAAATCAGTGTTTCGTATTTAGCACTAAAAATTTTGAACTTTCTTATCTGGCACATAGTTGAAATTTGCTTTCATAAATGGCACTACCGTCTATTTAGGACAGTAACGGTGTCAAATGACTGGTAAAATGACATGAATACCCTTGTTTGCAGCAGAAACCTATAGTGCCGAATAGGGAAAGAATAAATAAACAGATCGTCTCTGTCCGCTGATCTCACCACGGTATGCAGACATGCAGTCGCACTGCCATATCTCCTGATCCCGTCCTTGAGTTTACCTTAGCATTCATAGAAAACCCATCAAGAGCTTAGCTAAGCGGAGCTTTGTGTACCAGGACCAGGAGAGGGCAAGAAGGCCGGGGGAGACGAGGAGACCGCTGAGCGTGGAGCAGGAGCTCGACACGGCGCGAGCTGCGATCCGGTGAATGGCGCAGCGGCACGGTGTTGCCGCCGGCCGAGCAGGCAATGGCAATGTCAGCTCGGCAAACAGCTGGTTCAACGCTGGACTGGAGCATGCTCTCTTGGCCACCGTCTACTGCAACCCGGCCGCGTTCCACCGGTGAGTGAGTCGTCCATTATTCTGGTGCAAATCACACAATGCGAAAGCTGGTCGTCGAGCTGCCTTTGGTGTTACACGTACGGTGCACGCGCAGGAGCTATACGGAGATGGAGAAGCGGTTCAGAGTGTACGTGTACGAGGAAGGCGAGCCGCCGATCCTGCACGACGGTCCGTGCAAGAACATCTACACCATCGAGGGGCGCTTCATCGAGCAGCTCGAGCTCATGGTGCCGTCGTCAGCTTCGTCGTCGAGGCAGGGCAGCCGCCGGCGTCGGGTGGCCAGTGGCGTCCGCACGTCGGAACCCGCGCGCGCCCACGCCTTTTTTCTGCCGTTCAGCGTCTCCAAGATGGTGCAGTTCGCGTACCGCCCCAACACCTACGACAAAACCCCTCTCCGCGCCATCGTCGCCGACTACGTCCGCGTCGTCGCGTCCCGACACCCCTACTGGAACCGCTCCGCCAGCGCCGACCACTTCATGCTCGCCTGCCACGATTGGGTCAGTGTCGCAGCTAGCCCGCTAGCTACGAAATCTTGGCATCTTGCTCGATCGACGCAAACGGTTTGACGAACATTTTACTGGATCTTACTTGCGGTGGCCGCATATATGTTGGGGTTTAGTAGCGGGGGCACCCCGATGTTTGACTAAGGGGGAGATTGTTGGGGTTTAGTCCCACATCGTGTAGCAATGGTGGGGGAGCACAACATATAAGGCGGGAGAACCCCCACCTATCAAGGCTAGTCTTTTGGGTTGGGAAGGCCCAAGACCTTATATGTTGTAGCTTCGGTGGACCTGGGACCTGTGGGAGCGTAGGCTCGTGGTAACGAGCCGGGCCGGCTGCAAGCCAGCTCCAAGGTCGTGAACTCGGTGGCCACCACCGGTTCCAACAATATATGCACAGGGTCCTACGGCGTCGATGGGGCACCCGGAGCTGTACGCGAACGGCATCTGCGCGCTCTGCAACGCCAACACCTCGGAGGGCTTCCGGCCGGGGCAGGACGTGAGCGTGCCGGACATCAACCTCTACGACGGAGAGATGCCGCGGGATTCTGGAGGCTCGGCTAAATTTCAGTCTTTTGCATTTAACATAGGGGTATATTGGACACAGAGGGAAAAAACTGGCACAGTTAAACCAGTCAACTAACAGATGGCCAATGAAAATGGACGGCAGTGCCATTTAAGAAAGAAAATTTTAACTTGATGCCAAATAGGAAAGTTCAAATTTTCGAGTGCCAGATATAAAACACTGATTTGTTTCAGTGCCAAATAGATAATTCTCTCTGTGTGGTTTTATTGATCTCCACCAGCAGCCAAGGACCGACGACTGACCTCCATCGCTGCTTGCTCTACTGCCGACCTCAGCGGCTCAGCCCACCATTACTACTGCGTACGAGGTATCCCCATCCACCACGCACGGAGGCCTCAGCACAAGGCAATAATGGATGGAGCCGACCAACAAGGCCCGCGGGCTGCATGCTGCATGCTGCAGTGGAACCGCCATCCTCGCTCGCCGGCCCCCACATCAGACTCATCAGCGCCCAGCGCACTACGTCACATATGATTTCCAGGGGCGGTTGGGCCAGCCGCCCTTATCATACCGTCTCTACAAATCATGCATTTGTAGGGACGGTTTCTAGACCGTCCCTACAAATCAATTTGTAGAGGCGGCTGGTGTTATCAGCCGCCCCTACAAATCGATTTGTAGGAGTGGCTACAGTACCAATTGCCCCTACAGTGCATTTTTTTAAAAAAAAATTCAAATTACCAACACGTGCTCCCCCAAATCATCTTGTGACGAGTAAAATACATGATCAAGTATCCTGGCAAACTTGATGGTAATGTTGTGGCCCAAACAAGATTGTTTAGCCAAAAGTTTCTAAACATCTTCTATAGTACAAGAATCACAATAATAACAAATAGACTCATATTATGACAACAAAACATATATCTATATCACAAAAAGACCAAGCAAGCACTCAAGTGCTAACAAAACAAAAAATAGAGGTAGTATGTGTAGTACAAGTAGATATGTCTAACATGTAATAAATTGGCAAAGAGGGTCAGAAGTTTCTTCTCATTTCATCAAGAACTAATAATTCAAACATTGAAATAAGCCCGGAGATGCAACAAGTGCATGTCGGCTTTGAAGGTATTCACATAGCAAATGCACTGCCAGGTACTTCCACAACTAGGTATTATCACAAGCTATTCACCATGTCACAATCTATTTCCATAGAAGATCACATAGCAAATGCATTGCCAGGTACTTCCACAAACCACCGCATATTAGCAATTAGCATAGAAACTGGTGCAGCTGCCAATGTGAAACACTAAAACTGTGAATATAGGACACACCTGAGAAGCCACCATTCGGTTGTCATCAGGTGTCAACAGAACACGTATGGCATCGTACAAGCTTTGCACATTAGCTTTTGATTTGTCCTTCATAACCCGTAGAATGAGTTCATCAACCTTCAGGTCCATAAAGGACTCTTTCACAACTTCATTGCCAACAGAACCCGCTGCCACAACACTAAATCCAGCATCCAATAAATCTGAATTTTCTGAGCCTCCTTTCAAGAGATCCATGACAATTTTGGGTCCCTCACTTTGTCTGAACTTTTCAATGCTTGCCACATCTGCAGATTGAATATTTCCTGAAGTAAGAAGAGAATGGAGGTTGTCTATGACAGGGTATAATTGAGAGTGGACAAGACCTTTCTCAGCACCAGTTTGCAGTGCAAGATCAAGAAAAAGTAAAGACTAATGGATTGTAATAAGTTGGTAAATAACTATGCATAGAACCACAACTGATATGCGACAGGGTATAGCAGAACAAGACATTTTATAGCTGTGTAGTTTGTGAAACTGCATACGGATGGAGGTTTATATAATGCACATAATAGTCATCTGAATAGAGCAACTGCGTGGTGAATTTATCAGAACAATGAATTCATTTTTTTCTGAAATTGTTGAAAACACTAGTTTCTAGCATGCCATTTCATAGCGTTCATGCAATTGTAAGTTCAGTTGAGCAGAAACATGTAGCCGCTTCCAAGTGCATCTTCACAATATCCCGGAATATACACATGCTACCATGCTAGTTAAAGAAAATTGCTACCGGGAAGTCATTATTACAAGCATGTTGTGAATAGAAGAACCGTGTAAATTGCCAAACAAAATGACACATCTCAGAGAACCTGCAAGGACACCAATGTCATACCACGGAGCATGGAGCTCAGCGTCTTCAAGGCCGATACAAGCAGCCTCTCCTGCTGAACCCGAGCGGACGCGCACAGGGCGACGAGCGCCTCCACGATGCCATTCCGTACCGCGATCGCTGCATTCTCTAAAATCTCATCGGAGCAGCACATGCCACGCAACTCATCGACTAGAGAGACGAGCCCATCGAGATCCTACTCTGACTCACCGCTAGTGTTGTGAGAGGCCTTCAGTTCGTCCAGAACCCACACCACCGGGCTCACCTCCGTTGTGGTGGCCTCTCCCAGCACGCGCTTAATGATCCCTGGACGAAGCAGCAAGGGGCTGTGTGAAGATTGCAAGAGTGCAGAGAACGTCGAGGGGCGGATCTGACGAAGAGTGGTTACCTGAGAGATCGGCTCCCAGGAGGGTGAGCGCCTCAACGGCGTCAGCGAGGGCCTCATCGGGGTCCATGCCGAGGTCCTCCATGTTCTCCCGGACCATGGAGTCGAAAGCCTCCTGCGAGATCACGATTGCCATTTCTTTCCCACGGCACTAGAGCACTCGGCGCTCGTAGTATTGCCTCCCCGCGACCCGCATCGAGCTCAACCTCGTCGTCGCACCCGCTTGCCAGATCCAGGCTCGTCCTCACCGGATCAGGCTTCTCCTCGCCGGATCTGGTGGTGGCCACTCGGATCTGGGCTGGTCCTCGCCGGATCGAGCTCATCCTCGCCGGATCTGGTGGTGGCTGCCACCATGTGCTTCATGCAGCCTCTAGCAGCGCGCCGGAGGAGAGAAGGTGAAGGGGACCGCGCCACCAAGTCCCGCCACCGCTGGAGCTCGACAGGAGGCCGCTCCACCGAGCCACGGCACCGAGCTCCGCCACCGTGCCTCCGCTGGGGGGAGGGGCAGGGTCCCGTGCGTCGCCGGCGCAGGAGGAGGGGGACAGGCCCCCGCACGACTGCCGGTGCTGGAGGAGGGCACCGAGCCCCGCGCGACCGCCGGGAGGCCGCTCCCAGAACCCTCGCCACCCTAGGGTGCACCGTCGTGCGCCTCCGCTGGAGAGGGGGTCCTGTCACCGTGTGGGGAAGAGGAAGGGGTGGCGTGGGGGAGAGATGGATGGGCTCGGACGAGAGGGAGGGTGTCGCGGGGGGGGGGGGGGGCTGCTGCGCCGCGCGGGCGGGCGAGGAGCCACGGCCATCGGCACAATGAGTGAGGCAGAGAGAGGGAGAGCGAGGGAGGGAGAGAGGGAGTCGAGACGGAGAGAGAGAGAGAGGAGGGCACTAGATATTTTGGATGGGGGACTTAGTGACTGTACATATGGCATTTATAGGGGCAATTCAATCACCAGCCGCCCCTACAAATAGAAACATCGGGAGCGGCTGGTGAGTGAGCCGCCCCTACAAGTCCTACCCATTTGTAGGGGCGGCTCGTATCACCAGCCGCCCCTACTATTTCATTTGTAGGGGGTGGTTGGTCTCGTGGATTCCGAGTACGTCACTATAGGGGCGGCTCCATCATCAGCCTCCCCTTAAAAAAATTTATCCCGTTGCTACAAATCGTTTTTCACAGAACATGCAGCAGAGCACATGCTACGCAGCCCTGCCCTACAGTGCCCGCCCGGGAAGACGGTTGCCTCTGCATTAATGACCGGAGGGGGGGGGTTGTACGGGAAGATTCCTTCCAGTTCCAGCTGGTAATAAAAAATAATAACGCATACAGTGCATTACTAAGGTTCGCATGGTTGGTCTTGGTCTTCCTGGCTATGAAAGGTTTGGCTGGAGAAGGGCTCTCTGGCCAGTGCAACCTCTTGCTGATTATTTGTTAGTGTATACTCCGTATATCTGAGAGCCGGCAGTAGTCCGTCTGGTGAATCCATAGGATGAGCTACATACACATAAGTATAAAGTTAGTAATTATGTCGGGAGAGTTTCATTTTCTTTTCTCTATCTCTCGTTAAAAGTATTACAATGCCATTCAAAATGCTAGATGGAAATAAAACTTTCACCTAGTCTGGTCTTAGGGGGTGCTTGATCCAGTGACTAATGTTTAGGAGGTGTAGTGTCGCATGGGGTGTTCGGATACTAATAAAAAATAAATTACAGAATCCATTACCAATCCGCGAGACGAATTTATTAAGTCTAATTAATCCGTCATTAGCATATGTTTACCGTAGCACAACATTGTCAAATCATAGATTAATTAGGCTTAAAAAATTGTCTCGCAAAACAGTCTCAATCTGTGCATTTAGTTTTGTAAATAGTTTATATTTAATACTCCATACATGTATCCAAACATCCGATGAGACAACGACTAATGTTCAGAGCAAAGAAGATGCGGCGCCGCTCCAACCATCTTGTGTTTCAGTTTCCTCCTTTCACCCTCATGCCTATAGACCTGATGACTTTTGCAGTCGAGGTCTGTACGAGCCGGAACATCGCCGTGCCCGTGAGTCGCGTCGCCACCATCGTCTCCAACATCGACAACTTAGCTCCGCCGCGTCCCTTGCCCAACCAGCCGGTGTTTCGAAGTCGCAGTGAGCTCCTAATGATATCCCCGCCATCATTTTTATCTCTACTGGGCCCGTATGGCCAGATCACCGCCACGCCGATGTGCTCTGCTTTGCCGAGCCGTCGCTGCCGTTGTGAGCGTAGTTAGCGTGCGCGCGCCCGATCGACCCTTGGACGCGTGTGCGAGAGTGTCTACTCATGGACATGTTACCTACTGAAATGCCTTGGAGCAGATGATGTCTCCCTCGTCCCATCAAACTGATGTTTCATTTCCCAGTATGGATGAGACCTAGGAAGGAAATGTTGGTGCCTTACATAAACCCTCTTCTTTGAGTAATTCGACCAAACAATCCTTGTGTCATCAAAGCATTGAAAGCAGTGTTTTTCTCTTTTGCTCTACCCAGACAAGCTACAAGTCCTAGAATATTGGTGATGGTGGTGAACAACATGGCACATAAGTTGAAATGATCTTTCTTAAAACCATCATACACCTTGATACCCTCTTCTTTCCAAGTGTTTTCGAAACATCCACAAGTGGCCTTAGATATAAGTTGATGTTAATACCTGGCTGATGCGGACCTGAGATCAAAACTGACCATCATGTATCTCCTCTTGTTACATAGCCAGGGTGGAAGGTTGTAGATAGATAACAACACAGGCTAGACACTATGTGAGCTACTCATGTTACCAAATGGGTTCATGCCATCTGTGCTCAGTGCAAACTAAATATTCCTTGGCTCATCAATAAAAGTTTTATGCTTGAAATCAATGACATGCCGCATAATACCATTTGTCAAGTGCCGTATATAGTCATCAGCCTTTCGCCCTCCGAGTGATAGCTCACCAGTTGTGCGTCCATTGAGGTTGCAAACAAACATTTCAAGGAAGGAATTGTTGGGAAACACCATGCAACCTTCCTAGGAGCTGTACAACTCATCTCCTCACCATCATCACCCTCATTATTTCTTCGTTTGTAATGAGAGGTTGCACACTTGGAGCATTCAGTTAGAGCATCATTGTCACCATGGAATAGGATGTAGTCATTCTTGCAAGCATGAATTTTCTTGACCTACAATCTCATTGGACAAACATTCTTCTTGGCCTCATATGTAGTCCTAGGTGTCAAATTCCCCTCGAGAAGCATATCCATAAGCAGTTCTAGCAATTCTCTAGAACTGAGAATTGTTGTCAGTCCAATGATGTGCTGCCTTCAATTGACGAAGCTTTAGTGAAGCTGACAACTTTGTATACCTCTCCTTGCAACTTGGTGTAACACATCTGGTGTTACGAGCTCGTTAAGCACCGAGATTTAGGTCTAAGAAATTTTTTTGAAACGAGTTTCTTGGATTTTTTATTTAAAACGTACTTGATGTGATAAGTGAATCATATGTGACTTAGTTCTCTGGACTCAAATAAATGCCCAAGTTAAATTACTCAATACGTAAAGATATTTAGGAATGGCGGGCAACAATTCGAGCAAATAGATAGTGAACGGTTTGTTCTATTAGATTAATCATGAAAAGCAATTTTGATATACCGAATAAAATATAGCTTGTAATTCATATTTAGATAAAAGTTTGAAGTACAAGTTTAGTAGATAAAATGCTATTTTCAGTGTTTGAATTCTAACAAAATTTTCTAAATCTTAGTTTCGTGTTTTGGTACGATTTGTTGCATCAAACTGTGTACTTGAGCCTTCGTCGCATTAGTAAGTTGTTTTTGGTTCGCTTTTAAAAGCGTGCGTGACGTCGTTCCGGCTAGCCTGGCCTGCCTCGCTCTGCGCTGTGCTCCTGCCGTCTCGCATCGCGTGCTATTCCCTATACCGCTGCGACGCTATCGACCGCCCGATGCCATTGCTGCACGCGCATGATCTCTCTAGCCACGAGTTAAGCAACGCCAGCACGTGTGCCACCACTGTCGCTCAACCACGGTCAGCCACCGTTGTCCTGTCGCGTTAGTGTCCTGGTCGCAGCGTCGTGATCTGTCTTCGCGTTCCGCCAAGTTTAAGTCGTCTCGTCCAAGCACTGCTATCCTGCGCCCGGCCAAGTGCGTTTCTATGCTGGCACATGGCCACTGCCCTCGCTGGTACTGCCCCTGCATGCGCCTTGCCCAACAATCCACATCTTGCTCGGTCCTCGTTGGCCCCACTCTCGTCCTTCCGGTCGTGGCCGCACATGCTGCTGCCCCCTACGCTCTGCTTCTTGAGGACACCGAGCTGCTGCTCTCACTATGCTCACCCACTTTCCCTGTCTCTACCTTTGATGCCTGCCTTGCTTGTCGCTGCCAGATTTAATTGTCTCTGTCTATTGCTCCCGTCCTTGCCCACTTTCCATCCTTGCCCTCGCTCCCTTCAGCTAGAGGCGCGCACTCCTACGCTGGGTCACCGCCGTCACCCGGCCACCATGCGCAAGCACGCCCGTGCCCCTCGGCCACGCTGGATCTGTAGCTTCCCCACGCGTGAGTCCCCGGTCGGCTCTGGACCGCTGCTCCTCCCGTGCGCCCGCGCCCGCAGTCACCGCGCCTCCCAACCGCAGCGCCGGTATGGCCACGCGCCACCGCACCGTGCCTCATGCTCACGTTGCCCGTGTCGCTCCACCTCCGCTACTGCGGCCCCGAAGCGTCCCTGTCGTCGACCGCGCCATGCCTGCCAGTGCCAAGAAGCCTGCCAGCGCCGCAGCCGCCGTCGCTGCGCCGCCCGCTGTCATTTTCCCCTTCGCGTGTGTGCGCGAGCTCCACTACGCTGCCCTTCCGATCGCTTCCTCCGTAGTCCACGCGCCGCGAACGTGCTGGCGCGCCGCTATCGTCGCGCTGCCCCACCGTCTTCGTCGGCCGATGCACTGCCTCCCCTGCCACAGCCGCGTCCGGTGGCCATGTTGCGCTGTCGCCGCACATCGCCCCGCTGCTGCGGGCCACCTTGTCCCGGGCTGTTGAAATCCGGGGATGCGGGTCGGTTCCGCACACCCCACGGCCGGTTCTCCACCACCGCCGTCCCCTTCCCATGCCAGATTCGATCGTCGGTGATGGCTTCCC